CTACTCGTGACTTCAGCATATCCCACTACAACATGCAACCACTAAAGGTGAAATCACAGTGGGACTAGACGATAATATTTCTATTTCTGATATACTGACCAATGCACCAGGACAATAGAGGCATGAAATAAGGCGCAGCACAGTAGCGAGGCCTATGTATTTATTCTAGAATATAATATATTTAATTGTGAAATCATAAAAGCAAATGACAAAACGAAACAATCACAAATAATAAATTCCCACAGTTAACCAAGTTATTATTTTAGGCCTATCATTTCTGAGCATCACTTGCAGCAAGAGGCAGACTGTGTACTGCAACACCCCCTAGTGGTAGAACCAGGGTTTTGTTTCTCCAGCTGCAGCACCAGTTCAAAAGGATCCACCAGGTTCTCCTGTGTGAAGAGAACAATTTACACTTTACAATGTTTACAGAGTAAACCTGTTAATTTCAGTGCTGTCATTGTGTAAGACATTACTTCTTAAACACTTTGTTTAACAAACACTGGGTAATGGGACATAATTTAAGAGAAGAATAGACAGAAAATTTATATTTTACTATATTAATATGTTTAACTGTTCTTTTATCATCTATTTGCTTTTTACAGTAGCAGTGCTTTTAAAAGAAAAGATCAAATGCTTTCATTACCATTATCACCACTTATCTGTATATTGCACATTGCGTCTTCATTTCAGAGGGTCAGTCCAAAGGTAAAACCACAGGACAGAATTTGATCATAAAAATGTCTTTACCTCTTTACCTGTGCCTAAAGCAAATGTTATGGATCATACTAAAATATATGTAAAATCCTTAATCAAGAAAAGTAATTGAGGTCACAGTTACACTAATGATGCCCATATACCATATGCATTCCCTGGCCGAGAAAGTTGATAAAGCTGGCATTCTTTGAGCTAAGAGAGAACATTCTTCCCTGTTCAAGGTTCCCTCAGCAGGACCTCATCATCTGGTTATGACTCTGGGACAGCTGCTTGACCTTGTGCGTGTGAAGTGTGTGTATGTATGTTAGAGCATTGGGTATGAATGAATGCTCTACACTCCATGCTAATGCACATGTCATTCTCAATGAACAAACAGAAGAAGGCTCTCTGGGTGTGGTCCATGGTCTCCCTTTAGTCAAAGAAACATTGTCACCTTGATACATATTCTGGGGTGTAGTTTGAGAGTTACATACAGATTAGCAGATAAAAATAAGACACAACTTGTCTGCCTGTTCTGGTTTATGACATAGTGGCAAAGATTTATCAAATTTTCTCCAACAAGATGAATAATTAAACAATATATTTTTTCTGAAATATTTGTTTTTGCTTATTATATGATGATAGACATATAAGTATGGTAACTAAAATGGTTAACGATTAAATAGGAGCCAAAAGTGATATAATTCCTCTCAAAATTATATAATTCTAATACAGATTACTTGTGCCACCCTAATCTCATTTGAACTCTATGGAAAGCAAAGACTGTATATATATTTTTTTAAATAAAACAAGCTAGTAGCAACACCTCTTTAATTTGAGGGTGTACATATGAGCAAGAGTTGCCGCGTGTATGTGTATTGTCCACAAAATGGTTTGGTAGCTCTTTGACTGACAAGTAACCACTACTAATCATGATATGGATTCATTAATATGTTATTAATAGTAAAATATGAAATTATTGTAATGAATATATCTGTACTCATTTAAGTGGAAATTATTAAATGTTACTAAATGTTGATGCATTTGTGGTCAGCAGGTCCGTTTTGAAAATCATTCAGTTAGTCTCAAGGAGCTAACCTGTATAAATAAAGAAATAATAATACTACTATTATAATTTTCAATCTGTGTTGCTGACCTTAGCTTTAACTCCACATTGTCCTTGTCCGGATGGTTCAAAAGTGAAGTCCCCTGCAAACCTTGAAGAGCTCAGGATCTTGGCCAAATCTCCATCAACCTCCATCACTTCTTCAGCCTTAATAATTACATACCAAATTAATTTCATAAACAAAATGTGCTGAATAGACAGAAAGCATAAATGTTTGCATCAGGATCTACACACCTTGAAAGTGTATTGGCAGTCAAATGGGAAGCTGTTCTCCACCCCTGTGATGCCCCCGTTATAGATGACTCGGCAGGGTTTGGAGTTTCCTTTGGGGAGCTTAAAAAGACGGTATGTGGCAGCAACAAACCTGAAATCACCTGCATTTTTTAAGAATAGTAAATGGGTTTAATTTTTTATTACACACAGATGTCCAAATAACTTAGGACACAATATAAATACTTACAGTAAGTTTTATTAAACTACCGGTATATATTCTATGCTAATAAATGTGTTGCAGTTTGTACGCAGAATACTGCAGCAGTGTTTTGGGCTGAGACAAAGGCAGTGTCACATTTTAGACCAAAATGAGCTGGTCAAGAGTCTTGGTTGCTTAATGTTGTAAAATAATTTTCTTGGGAACCATCAGTGTTAAATTGTGTGTGGCTTTCTCCACATCTGTAGCATGTAATTGTAAATTCTCTTAGGTCTGCAGTGTTTGTTGTTGCACTATTGGACATGGAAATAGGACAGTAATTAATAAAGAATTCAAAAATAATAATAATACAAATATATTTCAAAACACTTTTAGGATGAGGCGGAATTAAATTAAGAAATACTTTTTGTTTGGATTGGGGGTCAGAACGTGTATAAACCTACAACATTAAGTTCTACATCACCACCGAGGACACTGCTTAACATGTAACATATATGTGTCTGTTTTTTAAATCTCTGTTACATGCGTATTTGTATATCTGTTCGGTGCATTTTAACTGCTTTTTAATTGTACCGCCATGGCTAATTCTTACTGCTGTTATTAACAGAGTTTATTTTAAAATCTCTCCAGGGAAAAAAAGACTTTTTAGCTAACTCTGGTAGATTTATCGAAATGTTTATAAGGTTGATTTAACAGGGACAGTGTCCACAATTAATTTCTGAGATTTTTTGTCTACTTCTCTTCAAGCTTTGAACTAAAAATAAGACTGATACCCAGAACGTCCTGCAGTTCTTTGTTGTCCACTGTAATAATGGTGGCGGTCACCAAACGAGGACGACTGAATCCAACTTCTTCGGCCAAATGCACCAGATCCTCCCACCATAGTGCACCACCAATACACTCACCTGTTGACATATAAGCCTTATTATAATATCAAATATATATCCAACAGTGACAGAGTAGGATTCGACTTACCCCAAAGGACCTTGTGAGTTTTTATTTCATTTGTTAGTCTTCCACTACTATACACATCACTGAAGTACAGCTCACCGCCATTCTAATGAAAACAAACAAACTAAATATAAATCATTTAACTACACAAATTAGGCACATAATTATTAGAGCACCTTCACCAACAAATTGTGATACATAGTCTGTAACAAACCTATGTGAACACTTAAAAATGTCTCTTGTACCTTAAGGATGCTGTAGGCTTCAGCCAGCACTCTCTTCTTGTCAGGAGAAAGATTCACTACACAATTTGAGCTGCATCATATAACAGTTATTTTTAACACTCAATAATAAACTAAGTGTAACCTATAAAAAACGTACATTATTATATCAAAAGTGTCCTTCTGAAGTCCAGCATCTGCCAAAGCTTCAATGTAGCCCTGAACAAAACTGACGTTGGGCGTTTTGTAGCCATATTCTTTCATGTGGTGGTCCAGGTACTTTTTCGCCACTTCAAGCTACAGGAAAAGAACAAGAATGTATTGGTACACAGTCAAGTACAATGCATAAGATTCAGTAAGCACTAAGTAAAATATGTCATGTGATAAATGATCATTTTGTATACACTATAATCAATTGTATTCCGTGTTTTGTACTAGTTCTTTTGACCAGAATTAATAAGAACGTTTAAGGAATGAATCGCAGCTGAAATAAATAGGCAAACGATGACTGATGCCACAGAGCAAAGATGAATGAGCATGATTTTAGTGTAACTCGCCAGGTCCTGTGTCATGTCAATCCCAGTTACGTGACCCTTGTCTCCCACCAACTGGCTGAGCATGTAGCAGTCCCTCCCGCTGCCACTACCCAGGTCCAGGATCTTGCAGCCCTCCAGGGACTCGGGCACCACCAGGCCACAGCCATAGTATCTAGTGATAAATGGGCAAACACTTAACTATTAGTTAACTAATAAATTACAATATTGCACAATGAAAGTGATGTAACCTGGAAATGACTTCGGGGTGAACTTTGCTCAGAGCCTTTCGAATGTGTGCGGGCAGGGAGCTGGCTGGGGTCATACAGGCGTTAGTTTTCAGATCTGAGGTTGCCTTAAGGACACTGCTATAGTATTCCTTGTAATCAAAATGACAGTGTATAACTTCTTAGAGGACAGATAATACGAGGAACATATATTTAATGTTATAAATCTACTTCACCTGTGTCGTGTCAATTTACCTTTACGTCCACATGGATGGAACAATCGGAGAGGTCTTTGACGCATCCACTGAACAACAAACAGACTATTAGGGCTACAATCTGGTAATAAAGCTATAGTGTATTAGCAGAAAATGTAGTACAAACTACTCAACAAACTCTTATAGATTGTGGCCAACAAAGGAATTAAATGCCGATAAAATGAAAAGTTGCCCTTATCACTTACCACTTCTTGTCAGTCATAGTTACTGTTGGTAAAGGTGGGTAGCACAGTTACTCTTTATCACAGAACTATAATAATATCTTTTTATTATAGATCTATGCTGTTTATGCATAGCCTACTCCCGACTCAACCCGACTGAACCACTTCTAATTTCCGTCTCAATTTCTTCTCTTCTTTTGAGATTACAGCAGACGCCTACTGGCATTATTGCCTCCCTCTGATAGCTTTAGAAATTACACAACATAACATAAATCCCCTTAGCCTACACTTTAGCATATTTTGCCTCATAGGCCTTTTACAGGCCGAAGGTCCGATAGTTTATTTATTTATTATTTTTTTCTAGGGTATATAAACATTCTTCGTAAACAATATAACGTGTGGAGTCAATGCTTCCCATTGCTCCTTAACTTCCAGCATGCTGCTTCCTGCCCCCTGTCGTTCACTAAAAGAAATGTTAATATTCACAATAAACATGGTTATTATTGAGGACATTATTGAATATAGACAGTGCGCATTGATAATCTATCTTATAACAATTCACTTAAAAGATCCATACTTGACATAGGCCTACTTCATCAACCTCTGATCCTATGCAGCAGAATAAAAATTCCACACATAGTTTGTTTAGTTTGGGGTATTTTATTGAACAAACAACGTTTGATGATATCATAAATGGCTTATGTTATTTGAACATTCAAAGATGTGCAAAACCACCTCGGACTGATGAAAAACAGAGTCTTTGGCAGGACGCCCCTGATTTGGTTAACAAAAACTGCATCTTTTATGTTAGTCATTCATACTCTCTCTACAGCTTCACAAAACACCTCAATACAAGTTGGGTCTTTCTCAGGAGGAAAATTTTACCCACAAAAACATCCATAACATTAAAGCTAATGATTCAAGGATTATGAAACCAAATGTGTAGTTTACAAAGTCTATAAACAAATTTAAATAAACAGTGGTTTTATCATTTCAACAGTTATATTGTAGGCAGATATGAAAAATAGCTCCTCTTTGCATTACATGTACCACAAACCAAAATATTAAAATATTTCTAAATATTAAAGCACTTTTGAGAGCCGGACTCAAAAGATTCAAGCTTTAGTCATTAAAGTTTGAATATTAAGTAGGAGCCTATTCTGTCAAAAGGACGATTACTGTACAAGAATGACAGCAGGTTTGACTGCTTTCATGGGAGAACAGTGGAGTGAACCTTTGGGTCTTTACTTTGAAGAAAGCTGGATCATTTAACCAACTGACCTGTGCTCTTTTTATACAATCTGTGGTTTGTTTGTTACATTCATTACAACTGAAGTTTGGAATAAATGAAATTGAGAACATTCAAATGGACCCACCTCTTAAAAAAAACATGGGACATTATGGTGCACAAATAAATGCATCGTATTTTAAAATGTGTTGTCAATTTTCTGTTATTAATAACATTAATAATACATCATACATCATGCATCGTTTTTGTCACTAATTAAGTCACATGTTTTTCTGTACTAAACAAAGCAATAGGACAAATCCATAATTTGACCATGTACTCCAATAACAATGCTGCAATTTAAGGAAAATGCTCAAATGAGGCACTCTAAATATGCTTACTATATTTAAAATTGGAATTTATATATGGCTGTATTTTTAGTACAGTTAGAATATACCATATATATATATATGATCAGTTTAAAAAAAAAAAAAAAAGGTTCTGGTACCGATTTTCTTTACTGCCACAAGACTTAACATAAAAATCCTGTATTTCCAGGTAGGCACATTCAACACACACGTGTTAGTGACTTAAATAAAATTGTATACAAAGTTTACAAAAGAATCGCTACTTTTCACCCACACTTGTCCTAACAATGGAACAAACCCCTACAGAAGAATCAACTTGATGCAAAATAAGACTTGAAATTAAGCATATTGATTTACTTACTGAAAACTTCTCCAGAAAGTTAATGTACTGTGCAAATTAGAAAATGATTGTAATACACTATTGCTCCCATTACTACGAGATCAAATAGAGAGCAAAAAAGAAAGGCAGACAAACAGTTATTGTCTAAAAGCACTTGAGAAAGATGAAACTACTACTACTACTTTTGTCCCCTTACAGTATTGGGCTTGCATAATCACATACATTGCACACATCCAAACTGTAACGTACAGCAGTCCCCCCCCCAGTCCCCCACCCCCGTCCAATGGCTCGCCATCTGCTCGGTAATGCCCCTTCAAAACATTATATCAAGTGTTTACATCTCTGTCAGTAGCTTATGTTGCATGTATAAGACGTGGAGCCATGTGTACCGCTTTTGTGCAATGTTGAATGGATGGATGCAGGCTGCTAAAAGGTTACAGCATCTGCAGAAGAGCCCACACCGGCGAAGGCCACTGTTGTTCACACTGGGAGAGCAGTCGTTTTATCTGAAGACTGCATTTTCCACAAGTGTCCACACATTCATTAAAGTCAAAGGATTGAGAAAACCAAATGTAGGACTGTAGTGCTCCTGACGTGCTGGTGAGTTGACTCAGCCCTGTGGCTCTGTGCTGGGGCTGTGGTGGCTGCTCTCCTGCTCGCTAATGGTGTGGAGGAGCAGGCACACAGGTGGACTGCTTATGAGGTGATTAGGCTGAGCCGGACTGGGTGGACCTCGGGCTGGCCTCCTGTCTGCTCCCAGAGCCTGTTCCTCTTCTACAGTGAAGGAGGCGCGATGCCCACAGCTGTCGCAGAAATCTCCTCCCTCCTCCTCATCTTCATCTGGGCCCAATAGGCTCTCCAGCTCCCTCAGTTCCTTGCCCTCCTGCTCCTGGCCCACCACACCCGCCCCGCTGCATCCTCCGCTCCCTCTAGTGCCGCATACGCACACCTCAATCCCAGAGTCGCCCGTGAAGCGCCTCCTCCGCCCATTGGGGAGGCGCTCTTTGTCCTCCACACTGTTCTCAGACAGGTCTTTGAGTAGTGCATCCTTGCATGATCTATCCTCACTGTCATTGTGTTTCTCCTGGTTCTCACCGCTCCCATCTGACGCGAGGATCACGTCAGACTCTGGCCCTGTCTGGACCGGCTTGTCGTCAGGTTTGGGTCTAAAGTCTAAGGCAGGGGTCTGCGGCTCTTCTACACTGGGCCGGCAGCACAGGCTGTCGGACACTGAGGCCAGAGGGGTGGAAAGGTTGCTAACAGAGCGTCCCTCTGCCTGCTCTGAGGCCAAAGGGCTGGTCACTGTTGTAGCGGGCCCTGTGTGTAAGGCACTGTATGGAGGGGGAGGAGTCGGTGGCCGGTTGACCACCTCTTCATAGTCAGGTAGGAGGTAGTTTGGCAAAAACCCTGGAAAAACAAAAACTGATTTTAGTTTCACTTAAAGACAGCAAGAATACATTATGCCCCATTGTTTTTCTGTAGCCAAAGTCGCCTTAATAAAAAAAAATAAAAACAAAACCTCATGTTCATCCTGCTCTTGTCATTGCAGCAATGCAGAGTAAGTTGAATCTGCAAAACTGGCAAATGACCAAAAGCAACTAGTTCAGAAAATAGGGCATGCAAACAATTGTTTCTGGTGCAGTGAGAAATCAGGGACGATGACATTGCACAACTAGTAGTTACATACTTTCTCTGTGTGTAGCTTAATGCAAACAGAATTTACTTTAAGTTAAGTGTGAAAATCAAAGTTTAGATACAAGTCCTATGCATGTAAAAATTATACAAATTCTAAAAAAAAAAAAAAAAATCTACAATGGTTCACAAACTGGTGACATTATGACATTTGGTGCACATTATTCTGCCATTTTGAGTAAAATAAGAATTTTAGTCAAGTATTCAAAAATTACACAGGTAAACCTGTTAACCTTCTTCCTTTGCATGTTTGATTAAAATCCCTGTCAAATACAGTTAGAAAATGTACACAAAAATGTTTCAGAATAAAATAATAAACTACCCAAAATCTTGTTTAAAAACTCATGTCAGGATAATTTGATTCATAATCCTATCACAATGTACATGTGTGCATGATCTTGTCATCTGAAATAAGGCTTAAGAATGTCCCAAAATCCATTGTTCAGATTGTTTTATAAAATAAATGCCTAACAAAACAAACAAAAGCCTAAATAAAGTAGCATTCACCTCAGATATATACAGTAAGTAAGGTGTTTTAACATACATGTATCCATTGAAGTGTTTAATGCATTCTGACAGTTTTTTACATATATGTAGATGAAAAGAGGGAAAGTAGTGCAAAGTGTCTTACTGAAATAGAAGGGCACAGATGGGTAGTTATGTGCTTCTCGATAGGCGATGAGGTTGATCTCGTGCTGTCGCTGCTGCTGCTGGAGTCTATGTTTGGTGCGCCGATGGTGACACACGCAGCAACAACTCAAAATGAATATAATGGCCCACACCAACCAGAACCCTGTTGCAAATATTTATTTAAATGTTTTAAAATGGTATAAAAACAAATATTAACAGCAAAAATCTTGATCCATACTGACTGCTATAGACATATAGACTATATACCATGTGTATTACATGGTATATAGCATGGATGATCAAATGTGTATTGACTAGAGAAGAATGAAGTTTTACAGCCAACGCACACCAGAGCAGAAGTGTGCCGAGGCAGATATTTGGCCATGCAGCATCTCTGTATGCTTTGGCCTTTGTACTATGTTAATAATATATCACTCAAGGCACCTCCTTGCCATAAGATGAAGTCATATAATGTTATAGTAGTTGAATCAACAAGATCTTATTAAGTATCACTGTACTCTGTCTGGGGCTGGGCAATCGTTAAAAGTGCAAACAGTGTTGTTTGAAATCACAAGTGCAGCATAAATCAACATTTTTCCATCTAATGTCAGTGTGATAACTTAGGAACAATATGTCCAAGTCTCAGATGTCTAATACACAGTGCTCAATTGTGCACAGCTTATCCTATAGTCTGAATAACAGATTTTGACTTTAGTTATTTACAATTTGATGATTTGCAATATGTATGTAACAACACCAAAACACAAAATTAGATATCAATTTAAGAGTGTAAAACAACTGTGATCACCTTCAAAGTGAGGCAGCTGTTCTGAATCAAAGACACTAGACCAGTGCAACAACATTCGTGCACTCAGCTGTGTGACCTACTTGTCATCAATTTAGGATTAAATATTCATCAAAAGACAGAGTTTGCATCACAGTTCTGTACTAAAATGTGTGCATATAAAAACATCAGACTTACACCAGAGTTCATAATAGTAGCTGCAGCACTGGGACTCCCCACAGCAGTGGCCTGACTCACAGGTGTAGCTCTGATTGTTCACCCCTTTGCACTGCAGCAGGCTCTGCAAGACAACATCATAATTTTTACACTGGAATTTCTCATCACATTATGTTGATCTTATATTTTCAGATCACAACAAATCATCTGCTTTATAACAAGTAGTGTTTTGCATATTTCATTGTAAATATGCCTTTTAATGACTTTGGTTTTAGAAACACAAATTGTAAATTACATTTGTACACAGTCTTCTTTTATAATCAGACAGTATATTTAAATAAATGTCCAACGTTATTATGTGAAAACATTTTACTTTACTAGGTAGAATTATGTTTGATGTTTTGTTAACAGTATAATAAGGTCATAAAGAGAACCTGCCTCATAAAGATAAACCTCCATAAATATGAAAGAATTGTTTACAATTTTGAACAAAGTTAACACATTATCAAGTTATTATGCTAGACCATGCAGCAGGTGTGTGAATTAAGAATGCTTGCATATTTCTCACACTGACCTTTGATGTACAGTCAAACTAATACAGTTTTTAGACTGACCAACTTCCAACTCGTCTCAACATGTGCAGTAAACAAGTGCAGGAGCTCCAGTTTCATCTCATATCATGTTCAAATTTTTGATTCTTGGCCAAAGTCAAAGAAACAACACACCATGTTTCATAAATTTCATTCTACAAAATGCTCAGAAGCAAAAAACAATATTCCACACTAGTTTTGCACTTCAAAAATCTCAAGAATGTAAAAACCTTGAATTTGTTATCAAAATCAAATCAAATGAAGACAATTTTAAAATTAACAACTCCAACCCATTTTTCCCGTAAGATTCTTCAAATGTCTTCTCAGAGATCACCTTAATAATTCACCAGACTAAGATCTATAAAGGATATTGTGTCTGTATAGATTACCAGTGTAGGTCCCAGACTGAGAGGCATGACGATCCCAGGTCCGACAGTCCCAGACAAATCCCTGCACCGTGTGGGTCATTATCCCACCAAAGAGAAAGTCTCACTGCTCCTAAACAAGCTCACTCCCTTCTAGTAGTGCCTGCCCCCCACTCACACACTCCCCTCTCTCCAGATTCACCTTATACACACACAAATACAGCTCTCCACATCCTCACCCCTTTCCCAAACCAGGGCCCAAACACAGGACTGCTCTATGGAAATTTCCAAAGCAACAGTGTAGTGAGATAGAGACAGAGCTCCTAGTGGGACAGCCACAGCACACAAAGGAACATGCAACTGTAGGAGTACCAGGACACTGATAGTACACCGAAAAATTATTACTCAGCATAGCAAGTGGTCAGATCAGCATGTATCATTGTGGTTATCAAAAACTCCTTTCTGAACAAGTTGTTTTGAGGTTGACTGACTGTCACTGACTGTCTCTCTCTCTCTCTCTCTCTCTGTCTCTCTCTGTCTCTGTCTCTGTCTCTCTCTCTCTGTCTCTCTCTCTCTGTCTCTCTCTCTCTCTCTCTCTCTCTCTCTCTCTCTCTCTCTCTCTCTCTCTCTCTCTCTCTCTCTCTCTCTCTCTCTCTCTCTCTCTCTCTCTCTCTCTCTCTCTCTCTCTCTCTCTCTCTCTCTCTCTCTCTCTCTCTCCCCTCTTTGGGTTGACCCCCATCCTGCAATGTGATACAGATAAACATCTAGCTTTTTTGGCTCTTCAGTCATCCTAGCATAAAGATAGCACAGGAGAAAAGGATTTGAAGAAGGACTCCTCTATCTTTACTGAAACATTTTAGGTCTGGTTTAGTCCTGGTGAAATCCTGGTCACCCTTGTTTAGTCATGGTTTTGTCCATGTTTTGATGTGTTTTAAGTAGGGCCAGAAATAACAGTTATGTTAGATGACTAGTCAGATGATTATATCCACACTACGTTGGGATAAAAAAAACATTTGTAACCAAATAAGCGTTGGAGTGCAGCATCTAGATATAGAATATTCACAAATAAAGTGTATTATTGATGAAAATCAGAAATTGCTTACTCTTTTTGAAGTTACTAAAGCCACTTGGCATGACAGCATGTGTTTTAGAGACTGTATAGCCCAGATAATGAGATGTCAAAAGTTTAGTTACAATTATTCTGATTAAGCATTGCATCATTGCTGTAGGATTAAGGCCATTTATCTGCTAATGACTATGTGACGGTTCAGTCCAAGATAACACAGATTTAGTCCTGTTAAAGCCTTTAAAGACTTTAGATTAAATTTAACATCAGTTTAGTCCTGAAGACTCCCAATTAAGCCCACGTTCAGATTTTTGGGTTTAGATTCAATCCCTTCTCTGTTAGATCTGCAGACCACTTTCTGCATAAATTAATGGAAAAATTCTAGACTTATGAGAACAGGAGCACACAAGGGCATAGAGTACATTATATGGATGTTCTAAGGATGTGACAGTGGCAGACTAAAGAATCTCACACAACTACATTCCGCTCTGTCTATCCAAACCGGCAGCGAAAACCAATCCACTTCTCCTGACACAGGATTAAAGGCTGATTCACTTACCTTCCCAGAAATTATTGCTGTATGAGAAAATAATCAACTCAATAATGAGAAGCCGTTGAAACGCAAAGACAATGGGACAAGTTCATAACCCCTTTGAGCCATCACTGACCCCTTATTTATTATACAGCTATGCAACAAAGAGAGGCACTCATAGTCAGGTTATGGAGAATGAAATCCTGCTGACATGTTTGTTGCAAATATTAATGCCCTCTTAGAACATGTATCAACTTTCAACAACTGACAGACACACTTTACACAAAGTCCAATTGCCTCATTTTGTCTAAAAGTCAGAACAGGCTGTATGTTTGACAAACTGTTTCACATAAAGGATGAAGAGAAAATTATATTAGGGGATTATTCATCACATGCAATGTCAAAACAACAAGAGTTAGCAAGGACAAATCACTATGTGACAATACCTATTTCGGTTTCCATTAATGTCTGCATAAAATAAGAATGAAATATCTTCAATTAGTAGCTTGTATTAGTTTAAACTGCCTTATTCAAACAGCCAATAGCAATGGAAGTAAAGTACTCTCAGTTGTAATGTGCTACAAGCTTGAACCATGTTACCATGTTATGAGAAATCTATTCCACATAATAAAATGGAAATGAGTTGTTATGTCATCTTCACAATATCTATGCAAGATCATAAGATAACAGTGCATGAATATACTGTATGCGTCACACTAGCCTCTCTCCAAAGTAAAACATTTGGGAAAGTCCTTGGATTGCATTATCACACAGGAGGGACTTTATGATATGGTTATTGCTCATTATTGCAATAGACAGCAAACACAAACATATGCTGCACATGATACAGCATGTGATGACAAAAAGGAGAGGGGGCTCAGAGTAAGGGAATGAAAAGCAAGCTTGGGGGCCATATACATATGTGGCAATACCTAAATATCATAGTAAGTATCATAAGAAAGACAACAAAAAAAGTTAACTTGAAAACTACAAAACTATTAGTGCAGAGCTAAGTGATTTGGTTACTTTTTGAAGAAGTAGATATTTACTTAAGCAAATCATTATACAATTATGGTTCAAGTACAAAAAAAAAGAATACTGTTTAATGTATATGCAAATAAACTCATGGCTATATTGTATTTGAACTGTTGTTTTGTCATCATATCTCACAATGAGAACTCTTTATTCTCACTTGATGAAAAGTGTTAGTAGTATTTTTCTCCAACTCCTAAAATGTCAAGATATAAACCCAGATCACACACAGCAAGGCCGCAGCTCAGATGTATCGCCCTCCTGCACTGCTGTGTACTGTACATTAGCAACTGCAGCTAGCCTCAAACTTCGGGAACGGATTATCTTTATTAACAGATTAATATGATTCTGAAACTGCAACCCTACAACTATCATGTGAGTTACGATTTAATATAGAGTTAAAGATCAGTTAAATAAGAATAGTGTAGTGAAATGTAAAGGTGTTGTAAGAGTTTTCTTTATGCTAGGCTAACCAGCTAACTAGTAGCCCAAGAGTCAGCCAGCTTGTTTTTGACTACTGAGCTTACCCTGTCTGCCGCTGACTCGGTGGGGGTGACAGAGCCGACAACGTGCAAAAACAATCCCATTTTAAAAGCCGAACATACGCCTGTCATTCCTCCAAAGGGCGATTACACCTATGGCGAAAACATAGGTACGCCAAAGCTGAAGTAGTTGACTCAAGTTTGTAAAATATGCTCAACTATTTTCCGGCCCCTGCTGAGCGGCGAGGCCGGTGCATGCGCCGCCTCCACTGCAGGCAGGACATTTCAAGAAGGCACAGTGCTGGCGCAACTGGTTGCCGTCGGTACCACTGGCTGATACACAGCTGTTACACAAGCAGCTCCTTCAGTACGACAGCCTACTCTGCTCTGCTGGGTGTGGCATGGTCCCCTCGACCCGATCCATGTGCACAACGTGATGGGCGTGCAGCTGCGTGGATCGCCACTGGTTTTGCGGACGAAGTGTCCATTGGATAGGCTGTGCCTATCAGCCAAGAGGTTGAACCAATCACTAATAGGTCCGTCTCAACTTTCAGCTGTACCCCTTTGCATTCAGACGAATACACACAATATACAGCTGTAATTGCGACCCTTTATTTAAGCAAAAAATCTTGATCACTCTATCCTTTTTATTGCGTATTTAACAAATAAATACTCAAGTCAAAAATACAATCAGTCCACTTAATTGCACATTATTAGTGTATCTTTGCAGAACATTATTAGTTAAGTAAAGTTCTTCATAAAAGGCTATTTACCCATGTTATACATATTTCGATGTGTCATGGCCTCTTAAAAACATGTCTAAAAGCTGGGTTACCAGTCCCTTTCATGAGGTTGTCTGTATGGAATTCCTAAAATGTTAAAAATATCTTTTTCAGTTAGTGTTGAAACAGGAGTCCCTCCATGAACTTTTAAGCTGCCTCGCCGCACCACATCTTTGTTCAGTGAGTGCTCAGATAGGCTCATTTGTTTGGTCTTGGCGAAAGCTCTCATTGAGCGATTAAAGTGTGCAGATCCAGTAAAGTACATTAAAGCACAAGCAAATTCATTATAAGGCACTACAATAATGTCTAGTCTACGATGGCGTTGACTGGGGCCTGGAAGACGGCAGACACCCATATATTTCTTTTGCTCTCCATTCTCCTCATTGCTCACAAGATCATCTGTCAAAAACCCTAAAACAGGGGATACAATAGTTAATATGGCAATGAAACCCAACCAAGTATTAGAAAAATGACAAAACTGACCACTTTCATGAAGACTATGTAGAATTTTGCTAAAGACCCCTTTGTGTGACTTTCCATCGGGATGAGTTATAAGGACATCAACATCTCCACAAGTGGCCTTTCCCCGACGGTAAGAGCCACATGCCAAAGACAGCAGACTAGGGTCTATAGCTTGAGCAGCATCTCTCACCTGCATATTGACAAATGTTTTTATATTGTTGTATTATTGATATATACTGCCAAACAGACACCAATCCTAAATAAGTTCTTGAAATGGACTTGAAAGAAACAAACATGAGGTGCTCTAACACAAACTGCTCAAGACGTAATTTGCTGGAGATGGCCTATGCTGTGCAAAGGATCCGGTGTATTTCAATGTAGCTAGAAAAATAAAAAAGTCTGGAAAGTAGAACTCAAAAACTCATACTGACAGACCTCTGGGAATAAACCTGTTTTAGTTATCGACCTCTTGCACACACTACCTCTGGCAGATTTAAAGGAAAAAGGAATTCATGCGTTCAACTACAGCACTCACTGTGCTGGACTGAAAACGTAACTGGCTTATTTTAAATGCTAAACATTAAGTATAGCTTCTCCCACGATTATGGTCATCTTTCTTGTCTGGATTATGAATTTTCAGGAAGGGAAAAAGAAACAAATTTCAGGAGTTTTGGGTTTCAAATGGGGGCTTAATAATAAATGTACCAATACATATAAGTCTCATATTCGTAAACTATGTGAGCGTGCATTTCTGTTGCAGAATTTCCAGATGTTTTTTTACAAATACCATTTTCTCAATGGCTCCTGCTTCTTCTCGAGGCATTCTCTCCAGAAAATCTTTATAGTGTTTCAGTCCAATTTTTTGATTATGGTTTAGGTGAGCTTTGGTAGCAATATCTTCCAAAGTTCGAAACCCCTAAAAACAAAATGGTTAATTTAATAGTAAATAATGCAGATCCACTTATGACAAAATATGTAAATAAATTCAGTTATTTCATTCACACAAAAGGAATTAAATCAGTATGTATTTGACTGTGTTAAGCAAAGTATCTTACTTGTTGGTACCACAGCTGTGCAGTCTTGGCTCCTGCACCCCAAATATTAGTAAACATTTCAAGTACAGGTACTGCTTCTCCGATGTGATCAAGTTTCCGAAGATGACCACTCTCCATAATCTCATCTATTTTGTCAGCCATTTTGGTTCCAATTCCTGGGATTTGACAGGCTTCCTGGGAAAAAAAAAACACAAAATGTACATGAATCATTTTAAAATTACTTAATAAAAAACTGAAAAAATAAAAATGTTTAAAGGGTGATTTACACAACCTGGTATGATGTAACGGGCTTATGGTAGCTCTTCAGTGCATTAACTGCCTTAGAGTAGCCCAGTGCCCTCCACTTGTCTCCTTGGTGTGTATAGGCCTTGGCCAGCACTTCTAATTTATCAGTAATGTGTTTGTTGAAGTTATTGCTCTTAGATACAGATGACTGAGCGCAGACCCATTTTCCTGAGTTAATTTTTTGAGGAACATTGTCTAGACCAGGACTATCTTCTTTTGGGTGCTGGCCAGTCATAAGAGCTTCTATGTCACTTTGAGAAACACCATCGTCATCTCCTTGTGGTTCCTCTTTGCTGTCTGAGGCAGTCTGTGCAACAAAGATAAACAATATACATGGTCACTGAAAATTCTAAATATAGTCTAAATATCATGCTGCCCAAAAATCTGTTAAGAATAATGCCTGAAAATATTACCTCACACCCCACTGAATTTACATGTATGGCTCTATCCTTTTCTTGTGTATCAACCACTTCTGCATTAGGTAAATCTTCTTTTGCATTACACTGTGGTGTTTCAGAATCACTGGAGAAGCAAACGATGTCACATATTTTAAATATATATTGAACATTAGGTATTAAGGCTTTTAACTAAACCCTACCAACTATTTAAAACCTTTAGCATGCAATTACCTTTTAATTTGAGGAAGGCTGTAATCTGACACATCCAACAGCTTTTTCTCGCTAATACATTTGCTCAACCATGAGGACTTCACCAACTGGATTCCAAAGGGCATGCAATTTACTTTTAGGAGGCGAAATGCTCGGTCACAGTCTATACTGTCATCTACTACCACATGAGTGACACTTGGACTCATGGAGTTTTCTGTAATTCCTCCATTTTGTAGTATTTGCCGTTGGAAGATTTGACACCTGGCATTTCCTATGGCAGCTGGCAGGATGTACACACTTAAATCACAGAAAATGTCTCCTGTAAGAGTCATGCAAGGTAAAGTAAATGTATCTCTAACAAAAGCTTAATGGTAATGTAATCTTAATGGTAGGTAGACATTGTGTTACCTGTGACACTACATTTTTCAGAACTCTTCTTAAGTGGTGGACCATCTTTCCCCTGAAGCACTTTAGCTCTTTTAACCTTGGGGAAAGCCTTCATTATGCCATGACGAGGCTCCATTTATTTTATTCAAGGATGGCACAAGCCAGCCACCTATAAAAGACAATTCAGCATAATCAATACAGAACCTTTTTTTTTTTTTTTTTTTTCAAAAACTATGAATAATATTTCAAATTAATCACTGGTAATTTGAAACCAAAACTTGTATGTTAATTATCGTTAAATGTACGGCCCATTTAAAAAGGTTGCCTATTTCGACATGCTAATGCTAATGCTAACACTAAAAACTAGGGAAATGTGGCTCTACATCGGGAAGTCTATGTTTTAATTAATAAAATACAAAACGTATACATTAACGCTGGGGTATTATATAGTAAACAATATTTTAAGGCAATAATAAAGCAACATTAATTCCGTTCTCACCCTTGATGCAACAACTGCCAGGAGGAAAAGCAAAACAGCAACAACATCAGATTAAATGTATTGTACTTCCGGGTCATAAAAAATATATTTTTAGTTATAAGCATTTTTATTTCGTTGGAATGTGTGCATTAGTGCAAACAAATGCATACATGAAAAGAAGCATTAACAAGACAAAAAACTAAATATATGTATTTTGTTGGTTTGTCAGTTACCGAAGAAACCAGGATGTAAAAATCTAGAGTGGTATTGTAACACTAGGTATTAGTAGGTATTACAGTACCGGGGTGTAGCGTTTTCAAACTACCCCCTTCAAAAATTACGGAGGGTTAGGGTTAAGGGGGGTATCTTGAAACCGTTTTCAAATTACCGGGGGGTAATTTGAAACCAGCTTCAAGCTACCCCCCGGTAGTTTGAATCCTTTACACCGGAGCTCTTATTAATGCTTCTGTTTCAGCAGACTTTTATTGTGTTTATGGTTTGGCGCGCTGTATGGGGGTCACATGAAAACAAGAAATTGTGACTTTCTAAGGAAATTTTTCTTTTCATTGAGCTTCTTTTAACACATGTATAACTGGAGAAAAGCTAAATTTATATATATTTTTTTATTTTGCTACCAAAAACTTACATTAATATCAATTAAGCAATTAATATATATTATATATATATATATATATATATATATATATATATATATATATATATATATATATATATATATATATATATATATATATATATTATATATTTTATAATTATTATTATTTTTTTAATTATTATTATTATTTTTTTTTTTACAGTTTTTAGGTGAATTTGGCTTTCAATACAGACACAAGATGGCCACCATATTACCTTGGTAACGGTTACCATAGGCCTATTCAGAGTTTTATGTCAACAAGGTGGTTCGATCCGGAAGTAGTTAGATACTGAAGAACTGCCCTAAAGAATGGCTGTGGAAACTTGGCGAAAAACGCTAAAATGTTCAAATAAAACAGCATTAATTCATGATGGTAAGTAAACGCAGTTGATAATTCTGATCATAAATTGTTGTATTCATAAATAGAGGAGTAAAAATTTACGTCGAAGATGTTCTTAGAAGATTAATCCGTTCATCAAATTTGTTGATGTCAAAAATGTTGTCTTGTTTAGATTAGAGTCATGGCCTGTGCAGTTTACAGATGATGCATACATTTCTCTAAATGGTAAAAAGTATTTAGAAAATGTCATACTCTTTGTCACAATTTTTTTTAAGGAAAAAGAAAAGTGCACTACCTTTTTACAGATGGCAAAGAAATGGCAGAGGAATATGACATACATACTGATGAGCTCCTTGGTAAGCATATACACATAATAACGTCAAACAAGAATATTTCTACATTTTGTAAATGTTATTTCTCATTATTATTATTATTATTATTACTTCTCTCACATTTAAGTGCGAAAATGGAGACATAAAAGCACCCTAGGAGCTCATGGACAGTGGCAGGTAGAGGTTGGAGAACCTTTTACGCTTGGCTCTATGAACGCAGGGATCAAAGAAAACAGTTCAAATGTAAATACCCTTTATTGTGTTATAGTTTACTTTTTTATCCATGTTTTATATTATTCCATTTATGTTTTTATTTCATTATAGCCATTTTTTATGCGTAAGGATTTCAGTGGAGAATCCGCAACCTTCCTTACCCCAAAGATGTCTTCAGTGTTTTTGTGGAGCCATGTGAAAGATGTGTAATTGTGAAAACCTCAAACAAGAAGTAAGTTGTATCTACTCTAACCACCCTACAGCATGTCACCTTTTTGTGTTCACCTATAGATGGCACTATTTACAACACATTGCAGGCCCAAGGTTTTTCTTCTTAATCTTGTCTGTTTTTTAGGTATTATAAGAAGTTTAGCATTGCTGATCTTGACCGCAACCAGCTCCCACTGCACAATGACGCCCTCAGTTTTACTCATGCTAACAATACTCTAATAATCAGTGTAAGTCTCACACAATAATTACATATTTTCATTACATGCTTTAACTTGTACACATTTTATAGTATTAACATGCTCAACATACCGCAAGCTATAAAAAAAAAAAGTTCCAGTGAGCATTATGGAGAGAATTACTTTTCTTTGGAAGCCCTGACTTTTGTCCTCTGTTTTGTGCATTCTTTCAACGTGATAACAGTGATGTACACAGGGGAGATGAGCAAATGTTGAAGTAATCATTTTTTTCTCTTGTCCAGTACAAAAAACCCAAAGAGATCTTAACCCTTGAGCTGGAGCTACTGAAAGAGCTGAAGAAACTGAATGGAACAAGTGAAGGCGATGCTGACTGCCAAACTCAGTGAGCAGTAAAATGTTTAAATATGTTGATGTATTAATCTAGTTTTTTAAATATGGTTATCCTTAAACATGTTATTTGTTTGATTAATAAAAGGAAATTCTCACTATATAATTTATAATCTAACCACCTAATATATATTTAATTTCTACAAAGTTCAGCTGCTTTATTTACTTATTTTATTTAATTTTTTGATCATTGTCCCACAAAGTTCTAAAGTCTAAAGTTAATGGCATTTTGTCCTTTGCATATGGCAGTCTTCTCTGAGCTTTATTTCTGAGAAAAAAACATATATAGTATTTGAAGGCTTGTGTTAGTAAGTATTTTAAAGACTAAAACTGTGATGACAAAAGATGATTACTCCAGTACACGTCAAATATATCTCAGCAAAGGTACTTAAATTTAATCCTTACGTTGTTATCCTTTGTCCAAACTCAGAGAGTAAGTGCAAAAGACACAAAACCACAGGACTCTCTCACCATTGTGCTTTGTATTGCTTCAGTTGGAATGGACAACTTTCATCAGTCTGTCAACATGCGTTCAACATTTTAAGTTTTTTATATGCATCACTAAAATGCAATCTGATAAATTGAACATACATTTTAGTAGGTTTACTGAGGTCTCAATTTTAAAGACTTTCATGGGCTCTAACAAATTTTTGTAGTGAAGAAGAGTGACAAATTGGTCATCCAGCGCATGCATTGTGAGAGCAGCACAGAGCCTGTGTGCTGGGTCTTCTTCCTCCCCTGTTGTTTGGCCTCTGATGGTCATGCTCAACTGCTTCTGGGAAGACTGTTTCTTTTCTGCCTTCTTTTCATTGCCGAATGCCTCTTCCCAGCCATTCCCCCTCTTTCAGCCAATGCCACATTTTGCCTCACAGACCCTGATGCTTTCTCTGCCTCTCTTACTGCACCCCATCACCCCCCAATCCTCACCCCTCCCTGTGTGACTGGCTCCTTTTTGATAACTGACCCCTCCTCGTGTTATTATTCGAACCTACTATTGTATAACATGCCCTTTTATATGAGCTTCCACAAAGAGCCCATTTGATCAGAGGGTTACGGTGTGCGATCGTGAGAAATGCAACTACATGGTGGTAACCTTTGTTTGGACCAAAATGGTGGGCTGACCTCATCTCTTTTAATGCATAGCTCCGGCCATTCAGGTCCAAGTCTCACTTGCTGAGCACATTGAATTCAGTAGCCTGTCACAGATATTGCCCTTCAGTTATCTGGGTCTCTGGCTCTCTTGAAGGAGGGAAAAGGCAACAGTTTATGCTACCGTTCAATCTCAAATCAACTACAACACTGAGGACAAGTCTTGAACAAATTCTTTAGTGGTTTTAATATACACTCTACAATAAATATTTTCATCATTTTGTGTAATTTACATTTTTACAGTACAAAATATATTTATATATGTAGAAAAAAAGGTTTAATTCTGCAAAATCTGCCAATATATCTGGTGAACTGCAGTAACCATTAGGTTATCAATAGCTGCCATGTCTAGCTTCATACTCCTCCGCTGTGTTGACTAATCTCTATTCATTTTAACATTATTCAGCACTTGACTTGTACTCTTTTTAATTTTAAGTCATCTGTCTGAAGGGAGTGTATAACTAGTGTATTAGAGTCAATGTTTACATACAATGACACAATAAATCCACAAAGAGAGGAAATGTATGGGCACTGGACTGTAAAAGTTAATTTAGCTGGGAGCAGTTGACTCTGATGGTTTCTCCATTGATGTCCCACAGTGGTGCTTTAGTCAGCCGCTGCCAGAGCGATGGTGATGTGCATGTTTAGTCCGTTTGTTTGAAGGCTGCGCTGGAACGGCCAGAGGAAGAACTTCAAATGGCCGCCTCTCGCTGAGCATGTGGCCCCTGGGAAGGCGCTTCATGAAGTGGGCCTCTCTCTGATGCTGCTTGGTCTTCGAGGCCCTCCGTGGACGACCTTTACGAGTGAATGCCATGTACCAGCCCTCGTACTTGGCGTTCTGCAGTGCTGTGTAGTTGTTCTCAAGGACGATCTCAGTGAAGATGCAGTCTTTACCTCTGCCTTTCCTCTGGGGAAACAAAAAAGGAACATCCAAGTCATCTTTCCATGAGAACTAAACATTTTATTTTCTGTTCAATACATTGAAAGTCCTTCAGATAAATCTGTAGACAAAGGTATATTGTAGATTACCTTGCCAATCAGCTTTCCTCTTTTGTTCATACATATGTAGTATCCTGTCTTTGCTCCTTTAATGCGAACGCGACTTCCAAAGGAGTCAGTCTCCACCTCCAGCTTAGCTGCAAAACAAATCAATACATTTTTTTTAAAAGAATGGTTTTGATTGAAGAACTTTTATTCAACATTGTAAATTATTTCTCACTAATCCTCTGGTGTCACACCCCACAAATAGCACAGATGACAATCATTTTGCAGAAGCTATAAAATGCACTGATGCTCTGGAGGAAGATCTGAGAATGTTGTGGTCTGTGACATGGCCATAGCAAGGAGCAGCGGCTAGATTTGGGCCAGTTACAAGAGTGCATGCATCTGCAGATAAAGACAAAAGGACAATAGAGGACAAAAGTGGACAAACAAAGATGCTGACTTCACCTCTGTCTATAAACTGAGTCATACATGCATGAGTTGGAAAGTAGTGAAAAGTCTTCATAAAATACAACTCCATTAAGCATTCAGGCATTAAGATGTGGATGTTGGGGGCTGTGGTGGAAAGATAGCATCACTCAAAAGTTTGGCGGCAGGGATTTTAAAAAGGGTCCAATTTACATGCAGTTGTAAACTACAATAAATATTCATCACACAAGATTTAAGGTTCAGAGTTGACACTTGACTTAACACTGTTTCCTTTTTTAAGTCCAAAAGTAACTTTCTAAAAATTTTCACTAACTGTGACATTCCAGCAGGAGGACTTCTATTTTATTTAGGCTTTTTTTTATATTAGCTTAACTTCAAAATAATAAGATCCCAGATAACACTAAACAAGATGCGTTATAGGCATGTTTGGCCTAAAAAAACGGCAATTCTGTGATGGCCTGTGGATCACCTGCATCCACCTGTTACTTGCTGGCTGCATGCGTAAATTGTAACTTGACAATTTTAGTTATAAACAAATGCACGCGTTCGTGTTTACATATAAAATTAGTCAGTTTGTAAAATTTGATGTGGTTTGGAGAAGTTTATTTACCGTGCACCGCTCCGTCCTCCCCGTTGGCGTTGACCCTCTTGTTCGCCAGGACCTGTACGTGCTTCCCGCTCGTGCGGCTGTACAGCTGGTACGTGCGCGTCAGTCTGCGGCTCATCCTGTCCGACAGACGGCTCTGCTCGGTGACATGGTGCTTGAAATTAGGAGGAGACTGTACAGAGCTCTGACGGGCAAACAGACACTGTCATGACTTTCAGGTCTCAGAATATAAGAATATCTGCAAAGTTTCTGCGTGATATGCTATAAAATCCGTCATAACCTCGATAACAAACGTTTCTTGTTTTTACACTTTACATTAGGATGAACCCTTTCCCACGCTCCACACGTGTTATAACAATTGTATTAAATAAAAGAGAGCAATTCGATTTTCAGCATATTTGATTTGTAGCCAGTTCTTCAGTTCCCTGTTATAAAACATTTGATTTGTTATGCAGATGGTTCCATCAACTGAGAGAGATGCTTAATTTGATTCTGTTTATGATGACTTAATATACACGAGAAAAACATTTAGAATATAAAAGTACCTGTGCGTAAAAGCAAAGAGCCGTGAACTGGAGTAACCTGTTGAAGAAAATAAATTTCTAATTAAATTTCTCTGAAACATGTGACGTTTGTCAAAAGCATCACATTTACTTACAGCCAGCCTAACCTCGATGTTCTCAGCCTCATCTTGTAATAAGTCAAGTATCGCTTCATGAATACTCCACGGATTCGTAGCTGGAGGATTTGTGGAAAGTTTCAGTTCCTCCTGACGGAATTTGTGTACTCCCGTGAAGATGGTCTCTGGGCCAAATAAGACATCTGAAGATGTCACTGTCCTGTACAGGTAGAGGAAAGGCCTGCGCCGTTTTCTATGGCCGCGTCCGAAAGCGCACGAGCACTGCCGAGTAATCAGGCGCCCTGTTCCAGGGCTGTGTCTCTGTCTCCCGCTATTTCCATCAGCTCCTGCTCGTGTCAGCCACTTCTTCGCCAATGCTGATAAACTTTAAAAAGTTAGATCCTTCATTCGACTTGAAAGTGAACCTAATCGCACGTTTTACGCACGCTTATGTACCACAAAACCATAGGTGTCACGCCATTAAAGTTTTGTATTGAGAGATTAACAAACAATTCCCGCTTCCGAATTTGCTTTCCGTGAAGTTGCACGTGTGATTGTGATGTCGTCTCTCTTGGATGCGAGCACGGCAGAGTGAAGGTCCTGCGTCCTCCCACACGTGTATTTCTTGTGGTTGCCTCTCTTCCACATTCAGTATCCGTCCCCTGACCATTTAAATACCTAAACTTGCGGGAAAGTCACTATCCTCTGTGAGAGCAGGCGGAGCGTTCAGAGGTGGAAGCAATTTGAAACTGAATACTTAATTGACCACTTTTTCGACCGCAAATCTATAAATATATCAATAATTACACGCGCAAAATGTCATCAGTGAGATCAAAGTTGGAGAAAATATATAATCTGCACTAGGATTACACACTC